GACTTTTTTGCACTCTCTCTCTCTCTGTGGACCCTTCCGGGTTGGTTACCCTTCTTACAAAAATCTAATCTTAGGCAGTAAAGTGGTGATGAAAGCAAAAAGACTTTAGGATTAGGAATTCTTTACGTTTTACTCCATGTCATTCTCCAATCATTCTTTCGACTTGAGTGGTCAGATTGCGGTAAATCCTCCATCTCGGTTTATCTCAATCTGGGCAATTTAAAAATGTGTGGACTTCAACTTCCAGAATTGTGGTTACATTGTGAGCCACCCTGAGCTGTTTGGAATTGGTTGATGCCTAAACTGAATAGAATAATAACTAAAATAAAATAATAAAGCAAAGCAAAGCAAAGCAAAGCAAAATGAAATGAAATGAAATAAATTAAATTAAATTAAATTAAATTAAAATAAAATAAAATAAAATAAAATAAAATAAAATCACCATTGGTCATAGGGATGTCTGTGTCTGAGGGTCAAAAAAATCAAAAATCAAAATGGCAGCCAAATGCTGGCTGGGGAATTCTGGGAACTGAAGTCCACCAAGTTCAAGTGGACAAAATTAAGAAGCATTTTGCTCCATGCATTAAATAGGTGATCTCATCTAGGCTACATTTCAAACTCATTTTGCTTTGGTTTTTTTATGTTTCTTTGGGACCAGAGAATCTGTCAATCATACCCTCACATTTACCAAGAAGTTTAGGCTGAATGATTTAACCATATGACCAGACCCGTTTTTACCCCCATTTTTATGGTAGTAATTAAATAAAACTTCAGTTAATCACCAAATATATGTTCATCACCATGGAGTGGTTTTTACTGGAAACCAGAAGTGAGTGCCAGTTTCCAAGAAAAGTTATTGAAAATGGACAGGAGGGTGGGACATTGCAAACATGCATAAATGCAGGTCAAAAATGTGATCATGTGCCAAGGAAAGGAGGACACTGGCGCTCTGGAACCTGGTCCACCATAGCTGGAAAGGTATTTATTGATGGTTTGAGGTTGGAGAAGACCTGTGAGAAGACCACGGAGTGACAAAAAAAGAAAGCCATGGATCGTTGGATCAACCCCAAAGTTCTCACTTGAGGCACAAATGACAAGATTCATTTTGGACACACAATGTTGAGGTTGTAAAAAATGCCCAGAGTTGAGCACCAAAGATAATTTAGGGCCTGGAGACTAAATCATAGGATGAACCGTTGAGGGAACTAATATGTCTAGGGCAGCGGTCTTCAAACTTGACAGCTTGAAGACTGGTGGACTTCAACTCCCAGAATTCCTCCTCCAGTCATGTTAGCTCAGGAATCCTGGGAGTTGAAGTCCACAAGTCCTAAAGTTGCCAAGTTTGAAGGTCCTTGGTCTGGACTAATAAGGAGAAGAATTAGAGGCGATTTGGTAGCAGTGTTCCAAATTTCCTGACGGCGAGAAGAATTAACCAACGGAAGAGAAGCCTTCAGAAGTTGTGAGTGCTCCATCACTGGAAGTTTTCAAGAAAAGATTGGACAACCATTAGACCTGGATTGTATAAGGACTCCTGGGGGCTGGGGGTTCGACTAGAAGACCTCCAAGGGTTCCCCTTCCAGCCCTATGAATTCTATGGTTCTACTTCAGAGGTCTTCAAACTTGACAGCTTTAAGACTGGTGGACTTCAGCTCCCAGAATTCCTCCTCTGGTCATGTTTAACTCAGGAATTCTGGGAGTTGAAGTCCACAAGTCTTAAACTCGCCAAGTTTGAAGACCTTTGTTCTACTTTCCGATGGGATCAAGCAAGAACATTAGGAATACTCAGCTCACAGGGTTGCTGTTATGGTGAAAACAGAAGGAGAGTGTGCTGAATACATTTGCCACCTTGACTTATTTGTTCAAACAACAAAGGCTGGATATAAACAAACAAACCAACAAATAAACCAACAAATAAACAATGCACTCAGTTTCATTAGCCACTTAAGAGTCAGCCTATGGTGAGATGGGAGACACATGAATTTAATAAATAACGAACTTTGGAAAGGCAAATGAAATACAATCCATTTTTGCTCTCCTACTGTCATCCTCCCACATCTGAAGCTCGGGTAGCCAACCTGGTGAGCTGCAAGAGATCTTGGAAGCGAGCCAAGTGCCTTCTTTTGCCCCTTCCCCCTTCCCCCAAAGGTGACTCAAGTAATGTCCCAGAGAAGGCTGATGACACCCAAATTTTCCAAGTTCCAGGTAACAGAATAACAGAGTTGGAAGGGACCCTGGAGGTCCTCTAGTCCAACCCCTTGCTCCAGCAGGAAACCCTATATACCATTCTGGACAAATGGCTGTCTAGTCTCTTCTTTGAAACCCTCCAGGGTTGGAGCATCTACAACTTCTGGTGGCAAGCAGTTCCACTGGTTAACTGTTCTCACGGTCAAGAAATTCATCCTTAGTTCTAGGTTGCTTCTCTCCTTGATTAGTTCCATATTTGCTTCTTGTCCTGCCTTCAGGTGCTTTGAAAAACAGTTTTTTTAAAAAAGAGAGATTGGACAATCACTTGTCTAAAATGGTATAAGGTTTTCTTCCTGGGCAAGAGGTCAGACTAGAAGACCTCCAAAGTCCCTTCCAACTCTGTTATTCTGTTATTTTCTCCTTGATTCGTTTCCATCTGTTGCTTCTTGTCCTGCTATCAGGTGCTTTGGAGAATAAATTGACCCCCTCTTCTTTGGGGCAGCCCCTCAAATATTGGAAGGCTGCTATCAGGTCACCTCCAGTCCTTCTTTGCATTAAACTACCATAGACATCTCCAATTCCTGCATCCGTTCCTCGTATGTTTTAGCCTGCAGTCCCCATAATCTTCACTGCTCTTCTCTGCACTCTTCCTAAGGTCTCAATCTCTTTTTTTTCATATCGTGGCACCCAAAACTGGATGCAGAGACATGATAGCAGTCTGCTAATATTTGAGGGGCTGCCCCAGAGAGGAGGAAGGGGGTCAAGCTATTTCCCAAAGCCACCGAAAGCCAGACAAGGAATAAAGGATGGAGACTGAACGAGGAGAGATTCAACCTGGAAATAAGGAGAAACTTTCTGACAGTGAGAACAATCAACCCATGGAACAGAAGTTGCCTTCGGAAGTTGTGGGAGCTTCAACCCTGGATGCTTTCAAAAAGAGATTGGACTGCCATTGGTCAGAAATGGTGTAGGTGTATTTCCTGCTTGGAGCGGGGGTTGGACTAGATGACCTACAAGATCCCTTCCAACTCTGTTAATCTAATCAATATCCCCAGAAGTTATAAAGTGGTACTAACACTTCATTCATCTTAATTCTATCCCTGTTAATGCAGCCTCTGTGAATCCCCACCTGCCTCCATTCAAACTCTGGAGTACTCATGACTAATGACCTAAGTGCTAGAGCCCACTGTAACTACATAGCCAAAAAGGCATTAAGAGTTGTTAACTTAATCCTACGTAGCTTTTTCTCTGGTAATATTACACTAATAACTAGAGCATACAAAACATTTGCTAGACCAATACTTGAATCAGTCTGGAACCCGCATTACATATATGATATTAATACAGTTGAGAAAATCCAGAAATATTTCACAAGAAGTGTTCGCGACTCCTCTACTCGTTGCAGAAGACCTTATGCCACCAGACTCGAAATTCTAGACCTAGAAAACCTAGAACTAGGCCGCCTTCGGTCCGATCTAAGTACAGTATATAAAATCATACATTGCAATGTCCTACCTGCAAATGAATACTTCAGCTTCAATCATAACAACACAAGAACACACAATAGATACAAACTCAAGGTTAATCACACCAAATTTGATTGCAAGAAATACAACTTCAGCAACAAACTGGTCAATGTCTGGAATACTCTACCTGACTCTGTGGTTTCTTCCCCAAACCCCAAAAACTTTAACCTTAGACTGTCTCCTATTGACCTCACCCCTTTCCTAAGAGTTCTGTAGGGGGTGTGCATAAGCGTACCAACCTGCCTACCGTCCCTGTCCTATTGTTTCTTTTTATTTTTCTTATATGTATCCATTTCATGTATTCATAACTATGTTTACACTTATGCTTGTTATCTAATAATCGCTTGACTAAATAAACAGATTAGATAGATAGATAGATAGATAGATAGATAGATAGATAGATAGATAGATGATAGACAGACAGACAGACAGACAGACAGACAGACAGACAGATGATAGAACGATGATAGAAAGATAGATAAATAATAGATAGATTGATAGATTGATAGATGATAGATAGATAGATAGATAGATAGATAGATAGATAGATAGATAGATGATAGACAGATAGATAGATGATAGATAGATAGATAGATAGATAGATAATAGAAAGATAGATAGATAATAGATTGATAGATGATAGATAGATAGATAGATGATAGACAGATAGACAGAGACAGACAGACAGACAGACAGACAGATAGATGATAGAACGATGATAGAAAGATAGATAAATAATAGATAGATTGATAGATGATAGATAGATAGATAGATAGATAGATAGATAATAGATTGATAGATGATAGATAGATTGATAGATAGATAGATGATAGATGATAGATGATAGATAGATAGATAGATAGATAGATAGACACATAGACAGATAGACAGACAGACAGACAATGATAGATAGATAATAGATAGATAGATAGATGATAGATAGATAGATAGATGATAGATGATTGATAGATAGATAGATAGATAGATAGATAGATAGATAGATAGATAGATAGATAGACAGACACATAGACAGATAGACAGACAGACAGACAATGATAGATAGATAATAGATAGATAGATAGATGATAGATAGATAGATAGATAGATGATAGATGATAGATGATAGATAGATAGATAGATAGATAGATAGATAGATAGATAGATAGATAGATAGTACTAACACTTCACTCATCTTAATTCTATCCCTCTGTTAACGCAGCATCTGTGAATCCTCACCTGCCCCCATTTTGCGCTTTTTTTAAAAAAATAAAATAAAAAATAAAAAATTACCTTCATGAGCCACTGAGTGTTATTTTCCAAAATCCTCTCCAGCTGCTGGACTCTCGGGCTGGGCTGCCCATCGCTCTCCGGGGGGGAAGAGTCCCCGGGAGAATCCCGCTGCAGGGCGTTGATGCCCAGAGGGTCTCCGCCGGGGGCGGTTTGGCAGGGGGGAGGATCCGCTTCGGGGAGGACGAAGGTGTAACTGCAGCGCCCCTGCTGAACCCGGTGGGCGCGGCGGCGGAAGACCCCTTCGCTCGCCCTCCTCTGGCTGCCCTTCGCCCCCCGGACTGCCAGGAGGGCACCCAGGACCAGGAAAGCCAGGAGGAGGAATTGCATGGCGGCCAGGTTGGGGCTGGGGGGGTTGGGGGTGGGGGGGAGCCGAGAAAAACCCACCCACTCACCCTTCTCCCCGGTCCTTAAAGTTGGTTGGTTTTGGGTCTTTTGTCTCGGCTGCAGCCAGCCCCGGGGATGCGAGAGTGGGGCTGATGCCAACGGAGAAGGCTGCTCTTCCTTCTGTGGGTCAGGCGGATTTCTCTCCCCCCCCCCCCCCCCCCCAGCCACCCCCGCCACCTTTCTCAATGCATTCACATTCTGTAAAATTAGAACTTCCTCTCTCTCTCTCTTTCTGCCCCTCCTCCTTTCCTCCCCCC